CGCCGTCCCAGTCGCCGTTGTCGTCGACCTCTCTATCTCCCGTCGCCCGTCTCAGCTCTCGTGTTGAGAACTTTACTTGGATTTTTGCCTTGTTTCTTTTGACTCCGTCGCTGTCGCTCGTTGCTCGCCGCCGCCCCAATTGCCGATGCCGTTGACCTAGTCGTTGCCCGTCGCTTGCCGCCATCCCAGTTGCCGTTGCCATCCCAATCCGTGGAGATATACTCTTCTATTCATATATTCCTTTAGTTTTTTGTCAAGTAAAACAGGGAACTTTATTACCAAAGCATGAAGTACAATGTCAAAACTCTCACTCCCTATACATAAAATCTATGCAAATGAGTGAAAAACTCTCACATGAGAATACAACCTTATATTTTCTATGGTTTCTTTCATCCACTTTACAAAATTAAGCCTAATCTTCAACTTATAGAAAAGCTGACTCTTTTACATTTCATTATGTGGTTGTATCTGCTTAAAGATCAGTTTGTTGCTAGTTCTTCATATACTATACACAGCTGTTGCAAGTCCTGCTTTTACGTCCGTTGTTTATCCCCTTTCTAGAACATTTTTTCTCAATGTGGAATTAACTCTATTTCTATTTGAAGGTATATTTTTCCAGAAGTGTAATGTTCAGTTATATGCGGTTTCTTAGAAATGCTGCTAACTTGTATATTCAGTCTACTATTCTTTTGATCCACGTATCTTTTGATTTCAGGATATAAACGTGATCCTCAAGCTAAGTTCCTCGGATGCTAGATGCAAACTCTGATATTTAAATTTTTTGTGGTGTATAAATATACGTTTCGAGTTTGTAAGTGCTATGAAAGTAGATAATCTGAAAGTCTTCTGAGTGCTATTTTGTGTGTATAAATGTATGTTTGGAGTTTGATTTGTAAAGTATTGTTCTCAGTTTGTTAGACTGAAAGTAGATAATGAAAGTTATTCTCAATAGTGTTATGTGCTCAATAGTGTTATGTGCTTGTGATATGTGCTTGATGTTATTATGTGCTGGCTGATGAGTGTTGTTATTATGAAAGTTATGTTCTCAATAGTGATATGTTCTTGGTGCTATTATGTGCTGGTTGATGAGGGTTGAAATATTTTAAATCCAAGGCTCGTGTTTTTGTCTTGTAAACTAAAAACTCAAAGGTTTAAAAACTCAAAGGCTCGTGTATTTTAATGCTAGTGAATTGAAAAGTGCAGCATGCGTAACGTAGCTTAAAGCGCAACATGCGGAACGTAGATTAACTCATGCATATCTTGTAAGTATAGCATGATATCTTGTAAGTATAACATGATACACTGTAAGTATAGCATGATATTCAGTAAGTATAGCATGATATCCTATAAGTAACATGATACACTGTAAGTATAGCATGATATCCATTAAGTATAACATGATACACTGTAAGTATAACATGATATCATGTAAGTATACCATGATACACTGATCCAAAAATTCCACAAAATAGCACTCACAAATTTGCACAAAATTCTAGTCTTACAAACTCCAAAATTGCACAAAATTCCACAATAACGAAATTGTACTAACAACACTTTCATTATCTACTTTCAATGACTTACAATCTGAAATAATATGTTACAAATCAAACTCCAAAATTACACAAATCTTCAAAATATACTTAGCATAACTGATCATATATTCAAGGCAAGCTCTAGACTTTTTAAAATGTTACAAATCTTCAAAATATACATAGCATAACTGATCATATATTCACAGAAATTTCCACACTTTCCAAAATGTTACAAATCTTCAAAATTGAACAGATCTTCAAAATATACATAACATAACTGACTCCATTAGCTCTGCCCATCAATTTCTCTTTCACAATCTTCAAGGCAAGTCCAGACTCTACAGCTGTTTATAAACAAAATTTACAGACACAAAATTCCAGATTCTCCAGATGTCATACCTCTTGTTTTGCAAATCTATTGTGTACAAATAGCCCTTGATACAAATCAAAGCTATCCTTCACAGTGTTCTTATTCTGCACACATGTATATATATAATCAGGCGAAGACTTTCAGTAAAATCCTTATGAAAGCAATAATTATCTTGTATTAAAATAAGATAGAAATAAGATAGAAATACATGTAGGCGAAGACTACACATAGTCGATGTTGTACTCAAATAAGATAGAAATACATGAGTATTGATATCTATTTTAACAATTACTTGGAACTAATACATAAATTCTGGATACTCAACATTATATTACATTTTGATCTCGTTAATAGAGGCATATCAAGAACTTATGAAAGCAAGGAAAACAAAGTACTAGGAGATAGTAGTTGGCACAAGTGTCATGGCTCATGAATGATACTCAGATTGATCATAATCTTTCAAAAACCAACCCTTAGGTTTATTTTAATCAAATAGGCACTTAAGATGAATTATATAAATGTTCGTGACAATTGAAATACCAGATACCATGTTCATTTCCCCCCTCGAATAGTATATTGATCAAAAGTTCAATACTCAGATGTAAAACTGGAAGAGATTATCATTTGAAAAGAAAATTCAACATTTGCAGGTATAACTCTTTTCTGATCAAGATTAGTGCTACTGAATCTAATCAAATATGTTGTCGTCTATTTCTCAGATTCAGATATACACCAAACATGGAAGTTGAACTAATATGTACACAAATAGAGTGTTCATCTGTTGTGCACAATCTTATTTAAGTTATGAATCAAAACAGTTTGTAGGTTGAGATTGGTTACTTTACATTAATGCTCCATAAGCAATGAGCATGTTTGTTCAGCAAAATAAAAAGAGAGCTTAAACAACCTATTGCTATGTTTGGTTAAACAAACAGCTTTAATCTAATTTCATTCACAACCTCTTGCACAGGCTTCTAATTCCTCTATTGAATATTTGTTCATTGTTTACGAATAATCTAGTGGTCTTTAGAAGTCAATAACCCACATAATTGTAGCTTGAACTTAGATTGTTTAACATTAATTCTCCCTGAGCATTTTTGTGCAGTGAAAGCAATAAGGGGACTAAGCAAGCTAGTTTCAGCTAAACTATTCTTGAGTACAATCTCCTAATTGTTGACAATGTTGCAAGATAACAAACCTGCAGATAGATAACAAACCGCCAGTGTCGAGCAAAGGAATTGTGTTGTGTCTTAATTAAACACAACAATCACATTCTAATTATTAAATAATTGAACTCCAAAATTTAAAGTTGTTAAGTCTCTGAAACCGCAAATTAAATCTATTAAGAAAATACTCAATATTAACTGAAGATATAATGAAGAGCTAGTTAACTGCATCTATCCAAATTAAGAAAATACGAGAGCTGATAAGTGTCGACGGAGATGGCTGTTAGGGTTTTTTAACCCCTGTTACGATTTGAAAATAGAGATGAGAGAGGGAAGAGAGGAAAAACAAATCACAAAACACACAGAATTTACGTGGTTCACTTCTCGATGAGAGAAGCTACGTCTACGGTCGCCGCAGGAAAAATTCAACTATGTTCTGAAATAGGTTACAAGCTGCGCCCTAATCACCCTTTTATAGTTAGGATTGTTGTGCGCAGCGGAAATTTCGGCAAAGTTTCTGGTGCACAATAAGAGAGAAAGATCGATAAGAATTCTCGTCTCACCAAGGAAACAAGAATCTGAAGCGGATATCTCAACCAAGTGAGATATCGGCTCTTCCTCTCATCAGTTCTAGGACTGACTTGTCGAGGGATCCTAATAACTATTACAATGGCCACAAACTCAAACAATCAATTTTACGTGGTTCGGCAAACTGCCTACGTCCACGGGGCAAGGAGGGGGAGATCTACTAATAAAGGGAGAGAATACAACTAGGGTTTACAATCACTCAATCTAAACCCTCAAACAAACTCTCAAATC